GTTCAAAGCCTTATTCCACCATTTATGAACCGTGAACACAGGCACATTATTTAACTGCCCTGTATCTCCTGACCCTCATGGGTAAAATTGAAGATGGTGGTAATAGTACCTAACTCATAATAAAGTTGGCATGAAGATTAAATTAGTTCATATAAGTAGATAGGTTAGAACAGTACCTCATGCTGCATTATAATAACTCAAGGGCCAGACTGCAAAGACTCCTTTAGACCCATTATGACATACAAGCCTCAGAGGAGACAAGCTCAGTAGACTTGCTCTGCAAATAGTTTGAAGGCTTGTCTTAAATGTCCTAAGACAGGGAGCCAGCAGACTCCTATTTCCTTGGCCTCAGTTTCCAACCCTTCCACCTGGCTCCTCCTTCAGGAAACTTGGTTTAAAGTGTCCCACTTTGTCCCCAAATGTAGCTTCTTAGTTCCTCATTACATCTGGGAGATGGGGTCCCAGCACCAGAAGATGTCAGTCTTCCCTACCAGGCAGGGCTAACTTGCCCTGAAGGGTAGGCAAGAGAAGCCCATCTGCCCTGTCCCCAAGGACTCAGAAACTAACAGCCTTGTGTCAGACCTGGGGCTCTGTTAGCAGCAGGATGGGAAAGTGCACCCTGCCTCCCTCAAGTGGGGAACCTCCCCTCACTTGTAACCTCTATTTTTAGTGCTTCCCTAGGCTCTTGCTGGAGAAACCGTTTAGTCATCAGGGTGTTTATTTTCTGGCTGTTTCCGATGTCGGGAAAGCAGAATGTTGAGACTGGAGAGATCCAGGGCTGCTGGAAAAGGCTTCTTAGGAACAGGCCTGGGAACTCAGCCTTCAGACCATTAGTTAGGTCCCTGGGGGGGGGGGGGGGGGGCAGCGGGAAGTGGGGCAGCCAAGCCCCCAAGGGACCTAGAGAACTGGGTTCTCCACTAGCCTCCAGTTTTGAGGTTCTCCAAGCCTGGCCCCAGTTCTACTAGAAGGATTCTCTCAAAAATAGAAGTAGCCCTTGGACAAATTCTTGCCATGGGCTAATTCCCAGAAACCCCCTCCCCAATCTATAGACCTACGGTGGTGAGCCTCCCGCCAACCACAGCTCCAGCCAATCTCAAACCAGAGACAGGTTTGCCGAGGCTGTGATTGGCCAGTTAGTTGCCTTGGAATGTTGGGTCCTTAACAAAGGAATGAGGAAAGAAGGTGAGTCACCTGGGAGGGTGTTTTAAAGGGCCAGGAGCTGGAGGGACAAATGAAGGGGGCGGGGATGTGGGATGTTGTGGGAGAGTCGTGAAGGGAGATAGAATGTCCTGGACCTTGAGATGCTGTAATGATAATTCACCAAAGAACAGAGTAGGAGACTGAGGGGTAGAAGTTATATATTTATACATCCATGGGGGACTAAAAAGACTTCCTGAAACCAGCTCACTGCATCCTTTTCTTCTAGCCCCTGGACTACCCATCCCACAATCCTCTAGGTGGAAAGTGCCTGAGCATTCTCAGACACTTGGATCTCCTTCTTCCTTCTCTCCTCTGGCTACCACCCCATATTCCCTAGAGAAAAAAAAATCATCTAAGCCCAAAGTTGCTAAAAAAAAAAAAAAAAAAAATCCCCAGGAGTCAGAAAGACAGCTGCCTAAGTCCTACAAAACGTGTAAACTCCTCTGCACAGTCTCATCTTCCTAAGTCTATACATACGGCAAAGCGACATCAAGCCCCCTTTCTTCATGCCTCCTCAAGCATCCCTAATTTAACCTAATTTGGAAAGGTCTTCCTCATCCCCATATGCTACTTCTCTTCCTACCCATTGTCTCGTATCTCTGGGGAGCCATTAGTGATATTTCAGTCTCAGAATGCTTGGTGACCCCTCTTGCCTTCCCCATAGTCAGGTAAACAGTCTTTACCCGCTGCCTCCATCCATTTCATTCCGTTAGTTGTGCAGATCACTCCTCCAGTTTTTCGGTGATCCCAGCAAAGTCCCCAGTTTCTCCCCACATTGCACATGTGCTGTCAGGGAAAGGGCCGTCAACATGAGTACCGACGGTCCCTCTGTGTACACATTCTCCATATGGATTTGTGTGCCCACCTGTGCCGCTACTTGTGCATAATGCTCTGTATCTCTGCCCCACCAGTACAAACCATATTGTACTGACATTTTTGGTGTCTAATTTACTCCTCTTCACCAGATCCTGAGCTCCTTCAGGGCAGCAGTTTAACTCAAATTCGGGTCTGTAGGGTTTTGCAGGGCCTGGCCATGGAACACGGTCAGCAAATGTCTGTTACATGTTATTGTGTGTATAACTGCATCTCGGTTAAGACTATAAAAACTTTGATAGTCCATTGATAACTGTACTAGCCCAGGAATGGGGTCTCTGATCTGGAGTTCTGGACGAGTTCCATAGGCCAGAGGTGTGGGGTAGGGGAGAAGAATCAGGCAGGGAGCTGTGCCCCAAGCTGTGCCAGGGGGTAGGCCGGCTGGGGCAAAGATCAGAGGCCCTACCCTGCAACTGAAAGGGGCAGGGAAGGGGTGCCAAAGCCAGGTCCTAGGTCAGTGCCCCCCACATGAGTTCCCTGACTGAGCAGGATGTGGTGGCAGCTGCAAGAGGGTGGGCAGGATGTGGGGGTGGGGGCAGCTGAAACGAAGCCCGACAGTCTTCTCCCAGCTCCTCCCTCCTTCCCTCTCCCCTCCCCACCACCCCCTCCAAGTCACGTGCTTCCAGCCGAGGCACCGACGGACTATTTCCCCTTTACGCGGAAGGACATAATTGACATTGCAAACTGAATCCACGAGAGACTTCAGCTGTACCACGCCTTTTCCTTGCCTCGTAGTCCAAGACGTCAAGTTTGCTAGATAACACATTTCTTTCAAGTCCTGATCACTAATCCGGGAATGGCCCCTTTAAATGCAAATGACAGCCTTCTTGCTCTCGCCCCCAGCCCCCATCCGACAACGTTCCTCGTGCCCAGACCACGCCAGCTGCCATTGACGTCACGCGTGCGTCAGTGTCGCCAACCCAACCAGACGGCACGTGGGGGGAAGAAGGTGGCGTTAAAGGGCCAGAAGCTTTCGGTCTACCCAGTTACTGCTGTGAGATTTGGCCTTAGAAACGAGAAATAAAATGAAAGGTAGGAAAGTGTATTAGAACAGGAAGAAATGCAAGATAGACGTTAGGAAGGACTTCCCAGAGTAGGAGGCCAGCCTTTCCTCTAGTTTGACTATTTGCGCCTGGGAGAAAGACCCAGAAGGAGCAGGACAACTCTGAGGGTGAAGAACACTTGGCATTGAAGACTAGCCCTTTTGCAATTTCAGCCTCTCCTCTGTTCCTGTCCAGCATGGCCCCTATTCATATCCACAAAGTGTTTTTGGTTTTTTATCCACTAAGTGTTTTGTTCTTGGTGCTGGGGATACCAAGTGAACACTTAGTGGATAAAAAAAACGACAACAACAAAAAAGACACTTAGTGGATATGAATAGAGGCCAGTACAAGGCCACCTCCTTTAGGAGGCTTTCCCTGATTGCCTCACTGAGCATGCATAGCACACCCGCAACTAAAGACAATCTCTCTCTTTGAACACCCATAACATTTAATAAACCTGCATGTTCCTTCCATGCATTTGTGACCCCAGGGCAGTGTTAAGAGCACAGAACTTGCAGTCATGTAAACCTGGGTACCGATCCCATTTATACTGTTTAGTAGCTGAGTGACTTTGGACATGTCTCTTCATTTTAGTTCTAATAATCGTCAAATGGGGCTAATGCTTCTTAGGCCATATACTTGCTATGAAGATTAAATGGGATAATTTCTTTGAAGTACTTGTATGATATGTATTGCATAGCAAACCCACAATAATAATGGGGAATAGGTTTTAAGATAGCCATTTCCCCCACTGAACTATGAGCTTCCTGAGTAAAGGACCTTGCTAATACTATTCCCAGCACCAACACAATGGGAGGCTTATAGCTAGTGCTTTAAAAATGTTTTCTGAATGAATAAGTGAATGAATGAATGATATCAGTGTTTCCTGAAATCTGACCTCCAAACCCACCCCTGAAGTTTTAACCAAAGGGAGAAAATAGAAATGTCCCTCTGTGCCCAGGTTTTAAGATCAGTGGTAGAGCCTCAGGTAGAGATGAAGTGAGGCCCTAATCTCTGTGGTTGAACCAAAAGTATTATGCAAACAAGCCGCAACTGAATGGCCAGCAATGGAGACTTGAGGGGGCCTCCTCACCTCTCCCCATCCCCAACTCAGCTGCTAAAACCCTGTCCCCGGAAACCTACGCTGGGCTTCTGCCAGGAATACAGGACACCGAAAGGGAGCCGGAAGAGGAGGGCTTCTCGCCCCTTCAGAGTTCCTCAGTCAGACACTAATCCATGTATGGCCTTTTCTTTTCTGGATCCTAGTTTGTACTGCCCCTCCATCCCCTGCCAATTCCTCTCTCTAGCTCTGCCTCTCACCCCCCCACCCCAACCTACATTCCCTCCACAGCTTTACAATAGTTATAGTGGGGGCAGGAGACACAAGACCTCTTAAACCTGATTCCAGCTTCTTGGCCAGAGGAGCAGTAGCCACCTGGTCCTGGTTCAGCCTGTTTTGTAGCTGCTTGTTGACTTCATTGTCAATATCTGCTTCCATCTCTGAAGTAGAAGGGCTGACAGACAATAGAAGGGACTTCCTATCGGGGAGGAGCTATGAGCAAGAGGTAGTGAGAGCCCTCTCCCTCCTTGAAAATCAGAAAGAAGCAGTGAGACCCTCCTGAAGGGCAAGGTAGGGAGTGAGATGGTGGGGGGGAGATTCAAGAATCTCCCAGTCTCCCCTTGGCCTTGGTGCTGGCTCCTCCCCCTGAAGGGGTGGGGTGTTGCCCAGGAGCACTGTGTGTTCCAGAAAACCCCAAAATAACTGCCTTTGCTGTCCAGTTGCTATTTCTGTCCATCTTGTTTAATTATTCAAACCAAAGTTGGGGAGTGAACTATAAAAAGCTCTCCTACTTGGGGACCCAGGAGAGCTGGGAGTCTCGCCAGGTTGCAATAGCAGCAGGCAACAGAGTTTGGGTGAGGTCACTCGGTCTGGCCTCCTGCCTCCTCTGTTCCATCTGCTGTTTGCCTGCTTCCTCTGCTAGAAGGCAGAATCTAGGGCCCGCCCCCCTCCCCAAGCTTCTCTCACGCCCTCATTTCAGGATCTGTCAAACCAGGCCCGCCTGGGAGCTGAGCTCCACCTCTCTCCCTTTACTCTGTGAGTATTTTCTCTCAGCTGTCTCTTTGCTGGCTGCATTCTTGTCCTGGTTCTTAACCCAGAGACAGTATTGTCAGACCCAAGCATCGAGGCCTAAGGGAATGGGGTGGCAGGGAGTATGGGTAAGGAGGTCAAGTCAGGGGACACAGACAGCGACTGGAGAGCACTCTATTAGCTGGGGACGGAAGCGCTTGTTTGGGAGTGTGCAGGTGCCTGCTATCAATCACAGGTGGGAGCTTCTTCAAGGGACTCTCCTGAAGTCTCTGGTCTTGCAGCTGAGAGGATAGAGAGGAGGCAGCAGGAAGGACCTGCTTTCTTTTTCAGGCCTAGTCCTCTTCTCATTTGCCAGAACCCTAAGGTCAGTGTCCACTGAAGCTAAAGTCCAGGGCAGGCTAAGTGACCAGAGCAGGATTTCTCTGGGGGCCTCCTCCGTGCCGCCCTCCTGTTCTCTTGTAACAAGGGGTGTGATCATGGTTGTTACAGCAACATGGGGTCATGCCCTTGGAGGTAGTGAGTAGGGGGATTGTGTCAGTGAAGGGGAGACTGTAAGTTGTACTGTCTAAGCAGGAGGGGCCCACAGAGAGGTTGGGGCAGCCACAGAGACCCAGAGACACATGGATATGGCATTACAGCAGGGACAAAAGGACAATGGGCCTCAAGCTCCAAGAGAAGGAGAGACCATACAGACAGATTCAGAGCCCCAGGACAGAGAGAAGGGCAGGCACATGAGGTAAGAAGCCCAATGTAGAAAAGGGAGCCAGGGGAGCATGACAGGACTCTCCAAGAGCCACTGTGGGTCCTGAGTGTTAAAAAGAAAACTTGGGTTTCATTTTTGGGCCTGTTCCTACTAATGGCCTGTCAGCAGCAGTAGCAGCAGCAGCAGCAGCTGCTCCTGGAGGTACAGCCTGGCTTTCCTGCTGGGAACTTCAAGGTGGTTGCTGAAGTCCAGAAAGAGGCATGCCATTGCTAAGCAACAGAAGGCTGTGTACCTGGAGCACGTAGAAGGGAGCCCTGGCACCACTGATACGGGGAAGGCAGGGAGATGTAAAGGAGCAGGGTGGACAAAGCTCAATGCTCCTTCTCCCATCTTCCTCATTACAGTTAGAGAGGAGGGGGTGTCTCTGTCACTCACTAAGCATGTTAGTGAATGTGTGGCCTTTCTCCAGAATGCCGTGATTGTGTGCACGTGCCTTGTGACAGTTATCAGACTGACTCTGAGGACTGGCAGGGGCAAGGGGACGAAAGACCAAGTTAAACATCTTTCACAGGGTGATAGAAAGGGTCAAGGACCTGCCTCATTTGCTAAAAGGTAGAGAAGTCTCTGTGGAAATGCAGAGGCCTGAGGGTGGCAGCTTGTTCGGAGACAGAATAAAAGGAGAAGCTGGTCGTAACCTGCACCAGCCTCCTCATCAGACAGAGGCTCCACAGGGGAGAGGTAGCCTGGCAACAGGGTCCCTCACCCATCTGGATGTCTGTGTTCTCAAAGCTGAAGTTCTCCACTGTATTTCATTATTTTTATTCTATCGTTTTAAATTAATTTTTAGGTTGACAAGAACTGGCAGAGGTAACCATCAATGAGAAAGACTTTTTTTCTCCTTCAGCCCTGTCACCTACCCAACCGCATCTCCAGCAGGTCTGTGGAAGTAGCTTCAGCTGCCACTCAGGGTTGATGCCGGGCCATCACCACTCTTCTCCTGATGCCTCAGCCCCTATTCACAGCGAGTAATTTCATTCAACAAACACTTATTGGGCACTTATAATAGGGTGTTGGGAAGTGACGAGGGGTGGCCCTCCTGCACAGTGCCGGTCTGCCCGCTGGGGTCCCAGCAGGCTCTGGTTCTTCCACCAGACTCTCCACTCACACGTGTTGCACAGACTGGTTGATAACTTCTTGCTGTCTATCCTGGTAAGGTCCCCAGTTCCACAGGGAACAGTGTGTGCTTCAGCCCCTCCTCTCAGTGAGGGCTGGGAGGTTTGGAGCCCTCTATCTTAGTCACAACAGGCCTGCCCCTGGAGGCCCGTGTTGCTGAGAAGACACAGGCCAGTGAGAGGTTGCCTGAGGCCTGACCCATGAGAAAGAGAAGAAGTTGGGGCCGAAGGGGGTATGACCTTGTTTTGTTTTCATCCCTGTTTTGTACCAGGCACTCAGAAAGGCATTGTATACATTATTTTCATCATCATACAATAGCGCACCTGATGTAGAATTATCACCCTCATTTTACAGATGACAAAAGTGAAGATCAGAGAGGTTAAAGAGCATATTCATATTCATATAGCAAGAAGCAGCCATGGGGTTCCAGCCCAGGCCTGTCTGTACCCAGCGAAGGGTGAAGGGAGAAAACGGTTTCACTGTTGCCCAGGAATAGAACCCTGACTGTGTGATCGCAGGGATACTGGAGTGACGAAGGACTCCAGAGCATAGTTAGGACAATACCCTCATGAATTCAACGTTTGAAAGTGCTAATGAGGAAGAAACGGCCACTCAGAGATCCGGTCACACACAGGCCTTGGAATTGCTCAGGTTTAGAGAAAGCCAGGAGAGAAGGCTGGGTTAGACAAAGCTAAAACCTAATCTCAGCTCAGTCATTTCTAGCTGTGTGATCTTAGGATTGTCACTGACCCTCTCTGAGCCTTAGTTTCCTCAGTGAAAATGTGAAAGTGATACTCAGAAGGTGCTGCAAAGATTACAAGAGGTAATGCAAATAATGGTGCCTGGCTCAAAGCCCCTCTCTTTCCATCCCCTGCGGGACAAGAGGGCCACGCATAACCAAGAGCAAATCCACAGGGGTATAAACCTGTTGGGGTAGTACCGGGAAGCCCAAAGCCTGGCAGAGGTTTGTGGAACATTTTGGAGTTTTCTCTTATGGCAGGGCCAGGGGGAGGTTGGTCACATTTAGAATAAGCAAGAGTATCAAGAAAGGGCTCAAGAAGAGTCCTCTGCTGAAGCAGGTGAAGTAGACAAAGGGGAAACAATTTCCAACTCCTATTTTCTTCCTGTTTTTCTCCTGAGACAGATATTGAAAGCGGAAATAAGAGAAGTAAAGTTCTGGAAAGGTGAGAATCAAATCTACAGCCTGTTCGTTCCATGACTTCCTATCTCCACCCTGTGCAGTTCGGGGCGGCACGGGGGGAATGTGCACAGATGGTTATGGGGGCCTTGCCCCCGTCTGTGAGGAATTTTGGAGAACAGAAGATGTGTCAAAAAACTGGAGGTAAAAATAGGAGGCTCCAATGTTTCAGAAGAGGGAAAGACAGGTTTTCAAAACTCCAAGCTGGAGCCCTCTCCCCCACCCTACCCTGTTCGGAAGGCTACAGAGGAAGGCAGGGCTCATCTGGAGCTAGCTGGGGGTGTCCGGCCCCTGGCTACTTGAGTGTGGGCATCACCTGGGAGACTGTAGAGCTGCCAAGAATTTCAGCCCACTCCAGACCTGCTAGTTACAACTTGCATTTTAACAAGATTCATAGGTGCTTTGAATATAATCATTCAAGACTGGGAAGCATTTATCATCATTGTGGCGATACATGCAAATATCAAACATTGTGACATGCAGTTATGTACCACATAAGAATTTTCAATCCGCAATGGACAGCCCACAATGGTGGCTCCATAAGATTATAAGGGAGCCAAAATAATTTCTATCAGTAGTGTTATCAAAGCCATCATGATATTACAGCACAAAAGTTACAAGAAATCCCAGTCACCCTAACTGGGAATTGAACCGGCGACCTTTTGTTCTGCAGGCTGGCACTCAATCCACTGAACCGTACCAGCCAGGACTGGAATTTTTATCGCCAGACTTTGAAGTGACACACTGCTTCCACTCACATTTTGGCCCAAGTCAGTCATACAGTCCCACCTAAACTGCAAGGGAGCTGGGAGATGTAGCAGAGTAAATGAAGTTTTGGGTCAGTGTCTCTGCTACACCTCATATGACATCTACAAGGTTATACATGACGTGTCTTTCCACATCTTATCTCTCAAACCTTTTCTCCAGACATGTACATGGCTTACTCTTCACCTCTTTCAAGTCATCGCTGAGATGTCTTCTCCTCAGTGAAACCTCTCCTGATCACCCCATTAAAAATTGCAGCCCACCCCTCATTCCTCTTCTTCACCGTGGTATCCTTTATTACGCTCTTTGCTTTTGCCAAAGTGCTCACAACCTTTGACGTGCTCGCGCACCCGTCTTTACCTGCGGTGCTGTCAGCGGCCGGATGGGCCTTGCTCTGCATCTGCTTTTGTTAATGATGGAGCCCAAGTACCTCAGGTAGTGCCTGGCACATCTAAGAGGGCAGTTAATAAATATTTGTTGAAGGACTGAATTTTTAAAAACAGTTGCTGCTGGCAAGGGTGTGGTAAGACTGCCACACTTCTAATCCTTCTTAGTGGGGTTATAAATTGGTATAATACAACATTTTTTAATCTTCACCAAAGGAATTTTTTCATTGCTTTTATTTTATTTTTTAAAGATTTTATATATTTATTTTTAGAGATAGGGAAAGAGGGAGAGAAACACAACGTTGTGGTTGCCCGTTGTGTGCCACCCACCAGGCACCCAGCCTGCAACCCAGGCATGTGCCCTGACTGGGAATTGAACCAGCGACCCTTTGGTTTGCAGGCTGGCATTCAGTCCACTGAGCCTCATCAGCCAGGGCTTTCATTGCTTTTAGATAGAGAGGGAGGGAGAGGGACAGAAACATGGATTAGTTGCCTCCTGTACACGCCCAGACCTGGGATCATACACGGAACCTGCAGCCTAGGTATGTGCCCTGGCCAGGAATCAAACCCGCAACCCCTTGGTTATAGGATGACCCTCCAACCAACTGAGCCACACAAGCCTGTGTTGTACAGTACAACTTTAAATAACCTTTTAATTTGGGGACAGTTTTCAATTTGCAGAAAAGTTGCAAAAGTGATAGTTCAGAGGGTTCCTGTTTGCCCTTCACCCAGTTTCCTTAAGGTTAATATCTTACATCACATTTGCCAAAACTAAGCAATGAATATTAACATATAACTGTTAACCAAGTCCCAGATTTTACTTGATTTTCCTATTAAAGTCCTATCTCTGTCCCAGGATCTAGTCCAGGGTACCATAGTGTATTTGGCAATCCATATTATTCTTTTGGAGAAAAGATTTTCTCTTATGCAACACTGTTGGAAAGGCAACTGAGAGATTCTGCAAGCCACAGTGAGGGCAGCTTTGCATTGATTTGCAAGAGTCTGGCTGAGCTGCTTTCTGGACCCTGGACCGCTGGCCCCAGCAGGGTAAACCACTCTTCTCTCTCCTTCTGGAAACTCCTTCTTTCTGCTATTGGTACAGATTCTCTGGAGGAAATTAGGCCACATGTAAAAAAAAAATTCTATATAAAGTGCTTACCTTTTGATGCAGCAACTTCCCTTTTAGAAATACACTCCAAGGAAGTAAACATGGGCACAAAGATTTAGGTGCAAGAACAAGTCAGGACAGAATCTTCGTAAATGACAAAACACAGTCCAAGGAGCTTTGATCTGTTGGGAGATGCTGAGTGGCACTCAGAGTTATAAGGAATGAGATGATTTGACCTGGAGAAGATGATGCACTGATCCTTCTGGGTGGCCCCAGTGCCAGAAACTGGTGGCCATCTCTCCAGGGTGATGCCAGCTGGTGACTCAGCTCCAACTGGCTTCCCTTCCTGGGTTCTGCCCTCAGAATTTAAATTCCCATGGTAGAGGGGAAAGGGATCTAGTGTCTATACAAGAGTCCTGAGCCCAAGGTATGGTCAGTGCGAGGCTGATTCCACCATCCAGTAACCCCACCTGTCAGGTGGAGGGAAGGAGTGTCCGTTCCCTAGAAGAAGAGAGAACAATGCCACAAAGGATTTGCAGCACAGCATTCTTTTACATATCGAAACTTAAACCATCTAAGATGGTTACATTGTAGTGGATTGATTAGTTAAATTATGGCATATCTCATTTAATATGGGAAAATGTTTATGATGCTAAGTGAGAAAAAGCTGGTTACAAAATAATATGCATAACATGATTCTAATTATGAATATGATTCAACCTGGCTGGTGTGGCTCAGTGGATTGAGTGCTGGCCTACAAACCAAAAGGTCACTGGCTCAGTTCCCAGTCACAGCACATGTCTGGGTTACAGGCCAGACCCCCAGCAGGGGGCTCGTGCCAGGCAACTACAGATTAATGTCTTCCTCCCTTCCTCCCTCCCTTCCCCTCTGTCTAAAAATAAATAAATAAAATCTTTTTTTTAAAAAAAGACCCAAACAAATATGATTGGAAGAAATTACATAAAAATGTTTCGAGTGGTTATCATTTTGTGATGGAATCATGAATTATTTTCACCTCTTTTTTTGCTCTTAACATATTTTTCAAAAAGATTTTATTTATTTTCAGAGAGAGGGGAAGGGAGGGAGAAAGAGGGAGAGAAACATCCATTGGTTGCCTCTCACACCCTAACTGGGGACCAGCCCACGACCCAGGCATGTGCCCTGATGAGGGGTTGAACTGGTGACCTTCACTTTGTAGAACACTGAGCCATGCAGGTCAGAGCTTCTCTTAAAATATTTCCTATAATAAATATGTATTATAATTAAGAAAAATGATATTTTAAAGTTCTTGTTTTTTCTAGTTACTTCTCTTCTAGCTTTCTGTTCTAAGGAGATAATTAAAAGTAAGTAAAGATTTATACAAAGATATCATTACAGAATTATTAATCATAGTGAAAATAGAAAAGAACTTCAATATTGTAGGAATGTTAAATACAGTAAATACAAGGGGGGGATACAAAAAAACTGAAATTCATTTATAAAAATTGTTTATTTATTCTTAAATGTTTAAACTTTAGTAGTCACTTTCAAAGTACTCTCCATTTGATATAATACACCTATCTGGACAGTTTTTCCACTGCTCAAAACAGTTTTTGAACTCATCAATTTTTTTAAAAAGATTTTACGTATTTAGTTTTTAGGGAAGAGGGGAAGGGAGGGAGAGAAACGTCAGTGTGCAAGAGATACAGTTGCCTCTTGCACCAACGACCTTTGGGTTCACAGGCTGGCGCTCAGTCCACTAAGCCATACCAGCCAGGGCTGAACTCATCAATTTTGATGCCTTTCAGTGCTTCTGACGTTTTTACTTATATATTTTTTCTTTTCACCTCTTCACATCAGCAACACATTTCCCTCTGAGGGCTTTTTTCATCCTGGGAAACAAAGTTGCTTGGGGAGAGAGTAGGTGCGTAGGGAGGGTGGGGCACCGGGGTCTGCCATTGTTGGTCAAAAACTGTGGAACGCTCGGCATGGTGTGAGAAAGTGCGCTCGTAAATCACCCATCAGGACATGGGCAAACACACTGAGTCTTCAAAAAAAAATTCACTGAAGCCAAACACAGCTTCTCACAACAACACCAGCTGGGACACTGACACAGATGGGTTCCTAGAACAGTCACCTAGCGGGGGACGCCTGTACTACAGAGACCCACCCTCCAGGAGGTAATTCGGTTTTTTGGGGTCCCCCCTCATATATGGGCTTTATTATAGTCACTAATGCTTTGAAGAAATTTTAAAGACATGGAAAAATGTTTTTATGGGTAAATGAATAAAGAAGAATCCAAAATCACATGTACTGTATGATCTTGGCTACCCCAGTAGTCTCTTTAATTCAACAGGGTCAATTCTTGTATCACATTACTAAATGTGTGCCTCTAGAACAGGTTTCCTCGAACTATCTATAGTAAAGAGCAGTTTTTTAAAGATTTCACTCTGTTATGGACTGATATTTTTGTGAAGTACAATAACAACTAGTTACTAGAAAAATGAAATGAAAAAGACCTATAAAATACACACTAATTTTTTTCTCATTCAATTCAGGGCTTTAAATGATTGGCAGCTGGCTGGATATTCCTAAGTGCTTGCTCTCATTTTCTGCATGTGTCTGGTAGTGGACCAGAAGCAGCTTGTGGGTCCTGCTCTGAGCAGCACTGCAGCAGCACAAGGGACATCGCACCCAACCCTGTGGCTCGCAACTCAGGTCAGAGCCAAAGTGTGCTTGGCTTTCCTTTACATAAGATTAGCATAAGCTCATTCATCGTGACTTAAGAGCACAGAAAAGATGCTTCCCCTCCTTGTTACTTCCCAAAGGTGACCACTGCCAAGTTTCTTGTGTATTTTTCCAAACAAGAGACCACTGACAGCTTTTCACATCGGCACACACAGATCCAGATCATTGTCACTAGCGTTCCACCGGTGGCTGCCCTACAAGATCATTGCTGTTACAACAGTACCGCCACAAATACTCCAGAGCTCTCTGCTCTTCTCTCCCGTATGTCCATGGGGAAAGTTCCATGCTCTGTATGTGCAGATACCATTTAAAAAAACAGCTTGTTGAAATATAATCCACATACCTTACAAGTTACTCCTTTAAAGCGCACAGTTGAGTGGTTGTTGCTGTGTTTACAGAGCTGTGCAGCCACCACCACTGTTACAGAACGTTTTCGTCACCCCCAAAGGAGAACCCATACCCACTGGCAATCACTGTCCATTCTCTCCTTTTCCTAGGCCCTGGTAGCCACTAATTTACTTTATGTTCCTACACACGTGCCTATTCTGGACATTTTGTATAAACAGAAGCATGCACCTTTTATAGGTGACCTTTATGTCTAGCTTTCACTTAGCATAATGTTTTCAAGGTTCTTCCATGTGGTAGCATCTATCAGTACTTCACTCCTTTTTAACATTTATTTATTTATTTATTTTTAGAGAGAGGAGAAGAGAAGAAGAAAGAGAGGGAGAGAAACACCAGTGTGTGGCTGCCTCTTGTGCTCCCCCCACTGGGAACCTGGCCCGCAACCCAGGCGTGCACACTGACTGGGAATTGAACTGGCGACAGGCAGTTTACAGGCAGGCACTCATTCCACTAAGCCACACCAGCCAGGGGTACTTCACTCCTTTTTTAAAAATTGTGTAATGTTCTTTCCTCTGAAAACATGTTTTATTTTTTAATTTCAGTTGACATTCAATATTACATTAGTTTCAGGTATACTACATAAGTGGTTAGACCTTTATACAACTTATGATGTGATCCCCTCAATATATCTAGCGCCCACCTGACACCATATTAACTATATGTATTCCCTAAGCTGTACTTTATGTTTCCATGACTGTAACTACCAATTTGTACTTTTCAATCCATTCACCTTTTTCACCCAGCCCCCAAATCCTCCTCTCACCTGGCAATCATCAGTTTGTTCTCTGTATCAATGAGTATGTTTCTGTTGTGTTTATACATTTATTTTGTTTTTTATATTTTACATATAAGGGAAACCATATGGTATTTGTCTTTCTCTGTCTTACTTCATTTAGCATACTATCCTCTAGGTCCATCCATGTTGTTGCAAATGGTTAGATTTTGTTCTTTTTTAAGCAATATTCCATTACACACAGGTAAAGCAAAAGTAGGTTTACAGTTGCTTGTATGGAAAATAATATAATGATAAATAATAATACGAGAATAAATTCTGTGTTTCCCATACACACAACTACAACTTTTGCCCACCCTGTGTACATACCACATCTTCTTTATCTGATCATAAATAATGCCACAAGGAACATAGGGATACATACACCTTTTCAAATTGGTGTTTTAGATTTCTTTGGATAAATACCTAGAAGTAGCATTTTTAATTTTTTTTTTAAGATTTTTTATTTATTTGTCTTTAGAGGGGAAGGGAAGGAGAGAGGGAGAGAAACATCAATGTATGGTTGCCTTTCATGCATCCCCTGCTGGGAACTGGCCTGCAGGGAACCGGCCTGCAACCCTGCTATGTGCCCTGACTGGGAATCGAACCGCGATTGTCTGGTTCGCAGGCCCGTGCTCAATCCACTGAGCTACACCAGCCAGGGCCCATTTTTAATTTTTTGAGGGACCTCCATAATGCTTTTCATGGTGTCTGCACTAATCTGCAATCTCACAAACAGTGCATGAGGGTTCCCTTTCCTCCACATCCTCACCAAAACGTTTGTTGATTTTTTGATGATGGCCATTCTGACAGGTGTGAGGTGGTACTTCATGGTGGTTTTAAATTGTATTTCTCTGGTGGTTGGTGATGCTGACCGTGATCTTTTCAAATGTTTTTTTGCCATCTGTATGTCCCCTTTGGAGAAATGTCTATTTAGGTCCTCTGCCCATTTTTTGATCAAATTGTTTGTCTTTTTGGTGTTAAATTGTGTGATTTATATATTTTAGACATTAACCTCTTATTGGATGTATCATTTGCAAATATTTTCTCTTTTTATTCTGTTGATGGTTTCCTTTGCTGGGCAAAAACTTTTTACTTGATGTAATCCCATTTGTTTATTTTTTCTTTTTCCTTTGCCCTAGGAGACATATCATATATATATATATATATGTATGAGTGTGTATCATATATCATATATTTGATATATGTATAATATATATGATATGTATATGTGCGTTATATATATAACAGCCATATATATATATATATATATATATATATATATGTTACTGAGAGCAGTGTCATTGAGTTTACTGCCTATGTTCTCTTCTAGGATTTTATGGTTTTGGGTCTTACATTTAAGTCTTTAATTTATCTCTCTTTTATTAAAAGATTTTATTTATTTTTAGAGAGGAGTGAAGGGAAGGAGGAAGATGAGGTGAGAAACATTGATGTGAGAAAGAAATATCAATTGATTGGCTCTTGCATGAGCCCTGACCAGGGACTGAACCTGCAACCCAGGCACGGACCCGGACTGGGAACTGAATGGGTGACCCTTTGCTTTGTGGGCCTACTCCAAAGCAAAGGAGCCACACCAGTCAGGGCAGTCTTTAATTTATCTTGAGTATTCTTCCCTATAGTGTAAGAAAGTTTAGTTTTGTTTTTTTGCCTGTATCTGTCCATTTTCCCTAACACCATTTCTTGAAGAGACTGTCTTTACCCTATTTTGTATGTTTTTGCCCCATTTGTCATGATTTAACTGTATACTCTGTCGTTTCCAGCTACACAACATGAAAAATAGAGACATTTATTGAAGAGGATAGAAGATATAAGAAACATTGTACATAGGGCAATGACACCTCAGTCCCCTTCAAAGTAGGCACCTTGGGACCTCACACAGTTCTCCCAGCGTCTCTTTCACTGTTCAAAACACAGTCTTGATCTTGCTGCGACTTCACTGCACCTTCTTTGGACACGGAGAACCAGGCAACTTCCATTGGGATGACTGGGTCTTATTTTCTGGATCATAGCCATAGAACCAGGATTCATCTCTGGTTATGACCTTCTTGAGGAAGTCTGGTTCATTGGTAGTGGTTTAAATCAAGTCATTAGCAACTGCAACATGATGTTCCTTCTGCTCTGGTAGCAGAAGCTGTAGAACAAATTTTGCCATGACACATTCAATACCAAGATCCTGTGTCAAAACCTCAGACACAATAGTTTTTGGAATCCCCCAGATCAGCTTCTAGTTCTTGCACTGTCAGTTGCAGATCTTAGTTGATTGCAGCCTGTACATGTTCAACATTCTCAGGCATTTTGCTTGTTGTAGGCCTTCCAGAACGTGAATCATTTTCAACATATTCTTGACCATCTTTGAACCTTTGTGCCACACTCTTATTTGCACTGCATTCATTGCATTGTCCCTGAAAGCCTTCTGAATCATCCAAGTAGTTTCCGTGGAGAAATGTTAATGCAAAATCTGATGCAGATTCATTCTGAATGCGACAGCTACACAGTATCCATGCTCACTCAATGGCATCTACCACCCCCTCTGACTAGTACAGTGAAATTGTCATTGTTCATGCATGCACACTCTAGTCTGCTCTTCTTGGCTACATTAATGCTGCACAGTTGTAGTAACTATGGCTGGAATTTTCCGTACAGATCTTGGTAGGCCTGGGATTATTTCTGGGTTCTGGGTTCTGTTCCATTGGTCTACATATCCACTTTTATTCCAGTACTATGCTGTGTCAATTACTGTAGACTTGTGGTATAGTTTGCTATCAAGGAGCACGAAGTTCTCCAACTTCGTTCTTCTTTCTCAAGATTGCTTTTGCTATCCAGCTTCTTTTGTAGTTCCATGTAAACTTTAGAATTATTTGTTCTAGTTCTAGAAAAATGTCATTAGTATTTTGATAAGGACTGCATTGAATCTATAGATTGCTTTGGGTGGTATGGACATTTTAACAATGTTAATTCTTCCTACCCATTGCGCATGGTATGTGCTTCCATTTATTTGTATCTTCAGTTTTTTTCATCAGTGTCTTACAGTTTTCTGACTATAGGCCTTTTAACTCCTTGGTTAAATTTATTCCTAGGTATTATTTTGATGCAATTGTAAATAGGATTGTTTTCTTAATTTCTCTGATGGTCCCTGATGTTCAAAAGTGAAACCAATTTCTGAATATTAATTTTGTATCCTGCTACTTTGCTGAGTTCATTTATCAGTTGCAGTTGTTTTTTGGTGGACTTTTTAGGTTTTTCTCTGTATAGTATTATATTATCTGCAAATGATAACAGTTTACTTCTTCCTTTCCAATTTGGGTGCATTTTGTGTCTTTTGGGGAGGGGTCTAATTGCTGTGGCTGGGACTTCCAATACTACGTTGAATAGAAGTGGTGAAAGTGGACATCCTTTTCTTGTTCCTGATCTTAAGGAAAGTGCTTTTGGTCTTTTACCATTAACTATGGGGTTCGCTGTGGGTTTGTCATACAGATGGAAGTGGTTTTCAACTAGTGTGCCACAACAATTTTTAAAACATGCAAGTCCTATTTAGTCTGAGACACTGTCCTCTTTTTCCTTAGATTGTCAAATAGAAAAATAACAACAGCCAACAAAACAATAGTCATTCTGTGTGAATGGATCAAAATTATACTTTTTAAAAATCAAATTTGCAAAAATATATTTTTGGTGTGCTACAGAATTTTAATAATTAGTTTATGTGCACCATAAGATAAAAAGTTTGAAAATCACTAATATATGGTCTTTACTATGTTAATATATATTACCTGTATTCCCACTTTTAATCATAAATGGATGCTGGATTTTGTTGAATGCTTTTTCTGAATCTATTGATATGATCATGTTTTTATCCTTCATTTTTTAAAATATATTTTATTGATTATGCTATTACAGTTTCCCTGTCCCCCCCTTTATTTCCCTCCTCCTTGCACACCCCCTCCCACCCACATCCCCCATCCTCAGTTCATGTGCATGGATCATACATGTAAGTTCTTTGGCTTCTGCATTTCCCATACTATTCTTAACCTCCCCCGGTCTATTTTCTACCTATTATCTCTGCTACTTATCCCCTGTAGCTTTTCCCCCATTCCTCTCTTCCCCTTCCCTGCTGATAACCCTCCATGTGATCTTCATTTCTGTGATTCTGTTCCTGTTCTAGTTGTTTGCTTAGTTAATTTTTGTTTTTAGATGTGGTTGTTGATAGTAGTGAGTTTGTTGTCATTTTACTGTTCATAGTTTTTTATCTTCTTTTTCTTAGACAAGTTCCTTTAACATTTCATATAATAAGGGCTTGGTGATGATAAACTCCTTTAACTTGACCTTCTCTGGGAAGCACTTTATCTCGTCTCCTATTCTAAATGAAAGCTTTGCTGGATAGAGTAATCTTGGATGTAGGTCCTGCTTTTCATGACTTTAAATACTTCTCTCCAGCTCCTTCTTGCTTGCAAGGTTTCTTCTGAGAAATCAGCTCTCCTTTTCTCTTGCTGCTTTTAAGATTCTCTCCTTATCTTTAATCTTGGCTAATGTAATTATGATGTGCTGTGGTGTGTTCCTCCTTGGGTACAACTTCTTTGGGACTCTCTGAGCTTCCTGGACTTCCTGGAAGTCTATTTTCTTTGCCAGATTGGGAAAGTTCTCCTTCACTATGTTTTCAGATAAGTGTTCCATTTCTTGCTCTTCCTCTTCTTCTGGCACCCCTATGATTCGGATGTTGGAGCATTTCAAGTTGTCCCTGAGGTTCCTAAGCCTCTCCTCATTTCTTTGAATTCTTGTTTCTTCATTCTGTTCTGGTTGAATATTTATTTCTTCCTTGTGTTCCAAATCATTGATTTGAATCCTGGTTTCCTTCCCTTCGCTGTTGGTTCCCTGTGCATTTTTCTTTATATCACTTAGCATAGCCTTCACATTTTCCTCTATTTTGTGACTATACTCAACCAATTCTATGAGCATCCTGATTACCAGTGTTTCAAACTTTGCATCTGATATGTTGGTTATTTCTTTATTGCTTAGTTCTATTGTTGAATCTTTGATCTGTTCTTTCATTTGGGCCATGTTTTTTTTTTTTTTTTTGTCTTGGTATACCTATTATGTTGTAAGGGGTGGGGCCTTAGGTGTTCACTAGGGCAGGGCAACCCACCTGGCTGCGTTCTTGTGCTATATGTGGGAAAGGGGTCCAAGAGGGAACAATGCCCCTTGCTCAGCTCTCAGCCAGCTTTCTTGGTCACTTCCCCAGCTACCCATAAGCAAATTGGGCCTTTCTGGTGCTGATTCCTGAGTGGATGGGTTTGTGTACATTCTAAGACCCTGTGGGTCTCTCCAATGAACTCTCCTGTGAGGCTGGGAGTTTCTCCTGCTGCCTCAACTCCCACAGGTTTTTTCAGTCAGAGGTTTGAGACTTTATTTTCCGTCACTGGAACCCTGTGTTTCGTGGTCTCTCTCACTCCCCAGTTGTTCCTCCTGGTTTATCTGCACATAAATGTGGGACCACAAGCTCCTCCAGCGACCACCTTGCCCACCCCAGTCCTACAGCCACCGCCTTACTGCAAGTCCTCTCTGCCCAGCTGCCCATCTCTGCTCCTCCTCCGCTGGATGAGCGTTTTTTCTTTAACTCGTTGGTTGTCAGACTTCCATACAGTTCAATTTTCTGTTTTTTGTTTTTAAATTTATTGTCCTTCTTTTGGTTGTGCGAGGAGGCACGGTGTGTCTACCTATGCCTCTATCTTGGCCAGAAGTCCTTATCCTTCATTTTGTTTACATGGTGTTCATATTAATAGATTTGCAGATACTGAACTAATCTTACATCCCAGGAATAAATACTGCTTGATCTTTTTATTGTATTGCTAATATTTTGTTGAGGACTTGTGCATTATGTTTATCAGCAATCTTAGCATATAATTTTTTCATTGTATCTTTGTCTGGTTTTGAAATAAGATAATACAGGCCTCATGAAATGAGCTTAGGACCCTTCCATCCTCTTCAATTTGGGGGGAATAGTTTGAAAAGGATAGGTGTTAATATTTGAATGTTTGGCAAAATTCACCTGTGAAGCCATCTGGTCCAGGACTTTTTTGTGTGTTGAGAGGTTTATTTGTCTTTTTTAAAAGATTT